ATCTGAGACTACTGAGGCTGTGTGGAGCTCCCCCTCCACGCCACACCTTTCCGCAGGCCATGTTACCCTCTGAAGTCTTCTCGGTCTCCGCGTGCCTCACTCTCACTCACTGTGACAGCCTCAGCCTGCTCCCCATCTCCCCTCCTCCTCTGGTGAAGTTCTGTGACTTGACATTGGCGGTGTCATAGTGACACCTCATAACTTACAAGAAATCTCCTAAATGAGTCTTGCTCTTGCATAGTTTGCTAACTAACGGTTCCTAACTGAAGCATGAAGGTGGTAAATTCTGTGCTGGGTGTGTGAGATTCTTGAGACTGCATCCTTACCTTTGGATGCTTCAGCTCAACGAGCTGAATCACACTGGTGTACCTCGTGTGTTGGGCTTCACAGATACTGTGTTGTTTATAAGTTGAATGTTTGTGACAACCTTATGTCAGCATGACAGTCGATGGCATTTTCCTAACAGCATTGGCTCACTTCATGTGTCTGTGACATTTTGTAATTCTCACAGTATTATTTTATTTGTTATGGTGATCTGTGATCAGAGATGTTTGATGTTACAACTTGCTGAAGACTGAGGTGATGGTTACCACATTTTTAGCAATTAAGTATTTTTAAATTAAGGTATGTGTTATGCTAGAGAATGTTCAAAATTGGCAAAAACCACTACAATATTGTAAAGTAAGTAGCCTCCAGTTAAAATAAATTAAAAAAAAAAAAGAATGTTCAAACTACTGTTCACTTGCACTCATTTCATATGCCATCAAGATTATGCTCAAAATCCTTCTAGCCAGGCTTCAGCAGTACTTAACTGAGACCTTCTGGGTGTACAAGCTGGAAGGGCAGAGAACCAGAGATCAAGTTGCCAACATCTGCTGGACCATAGAAAAAGCAAGGGACTTCCAAACAACATCTGCCTCTGCTTCATTAGCTATGCTGAGGCCTTTGTGTGGATCATAACACACTGTGGAATATTCTTAATGAATGGGAATACCAGACCACTACCTGCCTCCTGAGAAATCTGTATGCAGGTCAAGAAGCAGTGGTTAAAACCAGACACGGAACCACAGACTGGGAAAGGAGTGTGTCAAGGCTGTATATTGTCACCCTACTTGTTTAACTTATATGCAGAGTGCATCATGCGAAATGCTGGGCTGGATGAAGCACAAGCTGGAAGAAGATTGTCAGGAGAAATATCAATAACTTCAGATATGCAGATGACACCACCCTTATGGCAGAAATCGAAGAGGAACTAAAGAGCTTCTTGATGAAGTTGCAAGAAGAGTGAAAAGGCTGGCTTAAAACTCGGCATTCAAAAACTTAAGATCGTGGCATCCAGTCCCATCACTTCATGGCAAATAGATGGGGAATATATGGAAACAGTGTCAGATTTCATTTTCTTGGGCTCCAAAATTAATGCAGATGGTGACTGCAGCCATGAAATTAAAAGACGCTTGCTCCTTGGAAGAATGTTATCTATGACAAACCTAGACAGTGTATTAAAAAGCAGAGACATCACTTCGCTGACAAAGGTCTGCAGAGTCAAAGCTGTGGTTTTTCCTGTGGTCATGTGTGGATGTGAGAGTTGGACTATAAAGAAGGCTGAGCACCGAAGAATTGATGCTTTTGAACTGTGGTGTTGGAGAGTCCCTTGGACTGCAAGGAGATCCAACCAGTCCATCCTAAAGGAGATCAGTCCTGAATATTCATTGGAAGGACTGATGCTGAAGCTGCAGTCCTTTGGCCACCTGATGCAAGGAGCTAACTCATGGGAAAAGACCCTGATGCTGGGAAAGATTGAAGACAGGAGGAGAAGGGGGTGACAGGATGAGATGGGATGACGGAGAGGATGGGATCTACCAAGGGCTTGTTCTCGTGGGGCGGAGCAGCTGAACTTGGAAAGGTAATTAGGATTCTTCTGATTCACACCTTTTACTTTTAATGCTTGTGTCAGAGCTTTTCAATATCAACAGACCCATGTAGACAGCCTAACAGAAGTTGTCTTTGAAAACTACCCAGCCCCAAACCCCCACACTGCATAGCGTGGGGGATCCTGTGGCCGGCTAGAGGAAGAAGGCTCTTTTTATGTTAACAAATGAGGGAAAGGAACACAAGAACTAAAAGCGATGAAAGATAATAACACTGCCATCTGAAACGGGCCGGGCCTCTGGGACCTGGGTCGTTTTTGACCTCTTAAGTATAGGCAGCAGGGGAAACAGGTTGAGAAGTTTATTTCAGTTAGTAGCCTTAAGTGCAGTTTGGCCATGGGTGTAATCCATATAGGTAAATTTCTGTTTTGTAGCAGCAGTCTTTCTCTTAGGTGTATGTACAAAGTAAAATTATTTTTTCCCATCTGTAGCTACAAAGTAAAGGCATATCCTGAAGCTCAACTGACCACGGGAACTGAAGTGACAATATCAGAGGAACATAACCGTTCTCAGTTGTTCTGTTGTTTAAATGAGGCCACGTATCTGCTTGCCATGGGGTGAAGTCTCTGGGGTCCTCCTCAGCTCGGAGGGACACAGTGTCCACTTGTTGGCCAATAGTGCCTCTGACCTGACCGAGCGAGATGCCCACATGGTAAGGCTGACCTTCACTTTGCTTTCTCTGCAAGTCTGATCCAAAGGAGGAGTGTGAGAGGAGTTTACTTTCAAATGGAGCCATAAGTTGTGAGATGGAGAATCTCATGGGCCTGCTCCTCAGAAAACGAAGTCAGGATGATGGGGCTAGTTTCAGCAAGCGTTTATCATCTAGCCCATCGGAGCAGCCCACCCAAGTCTGGAGCACGCTCCCTGTAGCTCCCTTGAGCACCTGTGTCCTGAGCTGCGGTTCCCCTGCTCTTCCCGGAACAGACTGTTTCTGGTGACTCGAGCCCGCCTCAGTTTACCTCCTTCTAGGCTGACAGAAACACACCGTGCTAGCCACGTGACCTGGGATCAGGCACTTCCCCTTTCCCTTCCTCAGCGCCCTCCTCTGTGTCCTGGGGTACGCCTCCCTGCTGGAGTCCATGTGGGGAGCTGCCTTACGCAGGCCGGCGCCAGCCGGAAGGACTTGGCATCGGGTGTGGCCTGATGGGGTGGTGAAAGGGACCCTGTCTGTCAAGCTGGCAGTTAGGCTGCTGCAGCAGAGAGGAGGCGCTGTGTGTGGTCAGCACAGAAGGTGCCGGTGCGTGTGTGTGTTAGGCAGTGGAGGCTTGACTTCCGTAGCCAAGTCATCGTTGGTGTCAGTGAGTAACCAGCTTGGCAGCAGGTATCAGAATCCATTCCTAGTCTTTGGCCCAGGAATCCTGCAGTCACACTCTCCTGTTGCTCTGGGGAGGGGGGAGCCCTATACACTGAGATGTCTTCGTGTGGACACTACCAGAGGCACATCCTGGGGAAAGGCTTTGGTATTTAACAGCTGGTAAGAGCCAAGTGTGCTAGCTTCTACAGTGCTGTCATCAGATGTCGTTTTGAAGACTGCCTGTCTCATGTTTTGCATTTATAGTATGTGAAACGGCAGAATATCAGCCTGGGAATCACCCGGGTGTAGCCGCATGCATGCGGCCGACTTTAGGGGAGCTGAGCTGGGAAGCATGGGGATTCGGGCTTCTGTGTCAGGTGACTTTGGACTCAGCAGGAGGTGATGGGGACCCTTGGAGAGTGTTTTTCCACTGCTGGTTTTCATTTGGTTAAATCATTTAGCTTTTTGAAAAAGATAATGTAACATTTATGTACTATTTTCAATTCTTAAAATAGTTGGTAGTAGTTTAGTTGCTCAGTCATGTCCGACTTTTGCGACCCTGTGGACCCAGGCCACAGGCCAGGCTCATCTGTCCCTAGGAGTTTCCAGGCAAGAATACTGGAGTGGGTTGCCATTTCTTTTTCCAGGTGATATTCCTGACCCAGGGATCGAACCCAGGTCTCCTGCATTGCAGGCAGATTCTTTGCTGACTGAGCTACCAATAGTTAGCATGTTTTATTTTGAAACAAGATGCAGTTAAAATAGTTGTAGCTCATAAATTCCAACTGGAGCTATTTTTCCTAACTAGGAAGGGTTATTGTTCTCTTTGCCCCCAGGGCACTGATTAAGGGTTTCTGCTTTGTTCAGATGCCCAGGAAGGAGGCATCCACCAGCTGTCAGCCTGAAAATGCTCCTCAGGGTGGTGGCGGGGGCGCGGCGGCGCGCTACACCTAGGGTTACGGCAGCTTGACCGCCAGGCCTGACCCTTCTCACCTGCGCATGTGGATAGGGTTAATGTCACGGTCTCTAAGGAGTGAATGTCTTGGAGCCCGCCTTTCATGGGCAGGCAGCCCCTGACTGGGGGACAGTCTTTGTTTCATGTCTCCCGTAAGAGTGGACCGTGCTGAGCGTGCCACACACTGCATCCTCAGTGTGGAACTCGTAGATTCAGTTTTGTGACTCTGAGGAAGTTCCTCAGCCTTTTTATGCCTACAGTGGTGGTACCTATTCTACAGAGTGGTTCTGAGTATTAAAAGACCATCCGAAATAAATGTGCCTTGCTAGGAAAAAAAAAAAAAAAGACCATACAGAATAAACAAAATTTAAACTCATCATGTGAGTTAGTTTTAAAAACAATATGAACACCAGTAAATGTTTGGAATTTCTCTAAAATAATTGACCTACCACAAGTAAGTGTTTCTGTTTCTAAAACTTGCTATAAACACAAGTTAAAATTGATTAATTGTCATTATTCCGAAATCTGGTCATTTTAGTGCCAATAAGAAATGTTTTATGAGCAAAGTATGCTTGCGCTGAAAGGCATGTAGTTTGTATAATTTGATGAGTTTTGACAAGTGTACGCATCCAGGTAACCAGTACCCCATTCAAGGTCTGGAACATTCCCAGTGCCCCAGAGCATTCCGTCCTGCCCCTCCTTGGGAAGTCCTCATCCTCATCTCAGAAAATCACTGCTAGAAGAACGCATATGAAATGTTTTTGTTTGTGAATATTTAGTAATATTCATTCTTTTTTAATTTGTAGGAGATAAAGACATTCAGATGGCAGATAACAGGTAAGGCAGAATGGACTCTGCTTACTAGAGTGTACATTTTAGTTGGTGAGCCGAAGCCAAGTGTCATTAGATGCTCCAACTGACAATGGCTCTTGTTAGATCAGAAAAATGGCCCATGTTGTCTGTCTTGAGACTTTGTGGAGACTAATACTTTTAAATATATGATCTTAGTTTTTCAGATGGGGTTCCTTCAGATTCCTTGGAAGCTGCTAAAAATGCAAGTAACACAGGTTAGTGCTGCATGTGGGAGGGTGAGCCGCAGGGGGACTTGCACGCAGAGCGGGGGCGCCTTCTCTTGAACCTTTCAGTAAAATGGAACAAGGAGTCAAGTTCTGGGCTGCTGCGCTTCAGAAGCTTTAGCAGAGTTAGGATGATTACAGTGAAGACCAGCGCTTCCTTCAGGCCCCGCAAAGTCAGGCGCCCAGCGGGCGCCTCAGGCTGCTGTTGCCGAGCACAGGCACTCTGCGACCTGGGCCTCTTCTGCTGCCCACCCCCCCCCCACCCGATTATTCAGAAGCAAGTCCCAGATACCAGGAATTCCTAATGTGTTACTTTTTCTCCGTTTTTTGGCCTGTATATCTCTACTTGTTTCCTCCTTAGAACCATCTGAAAGTCTATTGTGGATATTCTGGCTCTTTTCTTAAAACAAGTTAGTGTAAATTTCCTAAAAACTATTAACAGGATAAATTCTAACCACAATGCCATTACTGCAAGCAAGAAAGTCAGTGTTGATCCAGGGCCTTAGTTAATGTACAGTCCTGTTCCTGTCTCCTGGCTTTCTCAGCAGTTCTTACACCACCGTCCCCCATGCCCACATCCGGGCTGTCATAGGACTGCATGTCAAGTTGAATTCTCCCCCTCGTATTCTAGAATTAGCCCCACCTATTCACCATTACGGCAGGTACACACACAGACTGTGGGCCCCAGCTGCCGTGCGGAATGCCCACACTCTGGGCAGGTCTGGTGGTTCTCTCTCCATTAGATTCAGAGTAAATGTTGGCAAGATGAGTGCATAGGCGACCTAGTGGGGTAGAAGTGCAGCTTGGCAGGGGTGCTGACTGGGGAAGCCAGCATCTACCAGTCTCTCCACTGATGGGCCTTGTAGTCAGCAAGCTGTCGGACACCACGTTCTGTGGGCCTCTTGTGTTCCCTGAGACGCTCGCGTGGGGATTCGGACACGGTTGATGGTCCTAGCTGGATCGGGGATGACCCTGGTGGTCAGCAGAGGGTGTTTCCTGTTTGTGTCAATCTGACTGACGGATAACATCCATTAAAGAAGTACTTCCCGCTGTCCCTTTCTAGCATTACTATAGACTCCTGGGTCTGCTTTTTATTCGGTGTTTTATTATTTGCCACCTTCGTTCTTGGTGTGCAGGTCGGCCCGTGGAGGCCCCTTAAAGCTGGCGTCTGGGTCCCTGTGCTTCGCCTCGTCCGTTTTGGGTTCCCTCTACTTTTGTGGCATGGGGATGTTCCGTTGTCTCTTGAGCTTTCCTTGCCCCAGACCTGAAGTCTACATTTACTCAGGGAGCCCTGTGTCTTTAGTGGGAGAGAGATTTAGAAGCCAGAATATACGAGTTGGCCTTTTGGTGGCTGGAGCTAGAGCTGTGAGTCTTGTGTGTAGTGTTTACATGCTGTGCATGTATGCAGTTCTACATAGACACAATCACATGCATTTTATGTGCACACACAGTGCTTCATGTTAGCCATTGCACTTGTGGCTCCGTGTCAGAACTGAGTGCCTCCTGCTGTATTCAGCTTGCCTCGTCACTGTCTTACCAAAGGGTGGGCAGCCCTGTCGGCCTGTGCTTGCTTTTGAGTCAGGTGGGGACTCAGACTCTGGGTTTCTGTCCGGCGTCTTGGAAGGCTAGTCGGTTCAGTGCAGGGCGTGCTCCGTGAGCCAGGGCTGTGCCGGTCCCGGGAGGGCTGATGGCCCTCAGGGTCCTCTGTTGATCGGGGGTCAGCACAGCGTGTGTGTGACTGTGGTGACCGTGTCCTCGCTGGGAGGTCGGGGCTTCCACCGCTCAGGTGAGGGGCAGGACCCTCAGGTGCCCTGTGTAGATCCATAGCCATCCACTTGGGTGACTAACGCAGACTGTGCCTTTAAAAATAACTTGCTCTGACAGTTTTCACCTTCCTTTTTCACAGTTGTGTATTCTGTAGTATTTTGTTGTTCAGTCACTCAGTTGTGTCTGACTTTCTGCAACCCCATGGACTGTAACCTTCCAGGCTCTTCTGTCCATGGGATTTCCCAGGCAAGAATACTGGAGTAGGTAGCCATTTCCTTCTCCAGAAAAATAAGTATTTTTGAAAAAAATGTTTTTAAATGTTGGCTGTTGTGTGGTGGGTGTATGTTATGTTTTTTTGGCTTTGTCTTTTTTTTTAACTCTTAACAGAAAAGCTCACAGATCAGGTAATGCAGAATCCTCAAGTTTTGGCAGCTTTGCAGGAACGACTTGACACTGTCTCCCACACTCCTTCAAGCTACATCGAGACGTAAGTATGCCCCGAACGAGACTTGATGCAACTTTAAGAAAGAAAGAAAGAAAACTCTTTGGGTTGTTTAGATTAGTAATGAGTATGTTTTCATTCAGCAGACCTTGCCTGCTGTGAGAACAGGCTCTGAGGCCCCAGAGATGAGTGCAGGGTTGAAGCCTAGCGGAGGACACAGGCCTGCAGCGAGGGTGCTTTGGCGGGTCGGGCTCCCTGGGCCGTCCTGGGGCCTCGAGAGGACTTCACAGGTCACCTGCGCGGGGAGGGCCGGAGGGGGACCCAGGGAACCAGTCCTGCCTGCTTGGCTCCGCCAGCCTGTGGCACCGGGCGTGGCTTACTCGGGCAGGCTCTGTCCTGGGCGTGTGGGGTACCCGCACGGGGAGTCTCCGGACGCCCTTCTCAGGGCCTGGCTGTCTTCCTGGGCTTCTCTCCTGTGGCCAGGACAGGGCTGGGCCTCTGTGTCCACCCTCTCCACGGGCGCCCCGAGCAGGACGGGGTGATGTCACAGGGAGGGCATGCTGGGGGTCTGCTCTGCCCAGAGAAAGGGTGTTGTAGGAGATGAGCTCGTGGGAGGGGCTCTGTGAGGGCCTGCAGACTGGACCGGTTGTGTGTCTGTGTGTGTTGGGGGTGCCCTGGGGGGATGTGTCTGTGTGTGCGCGCGCGTGCCCTGGGGCTGGGCCGGGGAAACAGGCGAGAAGTTGGGCTTCTCGCTTCCCGCTACAGACTCTGGGTGCGTGGGGGGCATTGGCTGAGGGGGGTGGGAGCGGTAGGAGGTTCTGTGCGGTGGAACTCGCCCCCGTTGCGTGCTGTGAGCGACGTGCCTGCCGTGGGAGGAGAGGGCTGTGCGGTCGCTGCTGCTGGGAGGCGAGCTGGGAAGGGTGTCGCGTCCAGCTGGCTTAGAGTCCTGTGTTAGTTTTACTCCATTAAGTAGATTTGAAAGTTGCGAAGTGACTTTTTAAGTTGTATGATTAATGTAGAAGAGAAGCGCAGATGTTAATGTGTTTAGTGTCATTAAATTCCTGCTCTGCTTTCTCCCGTCTTCTTGCTTGCAGCCGTTCTGGGTGTTTTTTGTGGTTGGGAGCCTTGGGTGCAGCACCTCCGTCCACACTGCACTTGCCTGGGTATGGTTGTCTCTCAAGACGGGGCTCTCTGTGATCGAGGCTGTCCGAGGACACTTGGCCCTCCGTATCTGCAGATTTAGCCAACGGAGGATCAAACATATTGGGGGACAGAGTTTTTCCAGGAAGTTGCAGAAAGCAGAACTATTTATACAATGTTCACATTGTATTTACAGTGTATGGAAAAACATGCTTAGGTTCCATGCCACACACTGCTCTTGATACACGAGGGACTTGAGTGGATTTTGACATCCACTGATTGGCCCCCTCGACGGCTGCACTTTCTGAACAGTGCCGTGTTGAGAGCTGCCTGGACTGTGCTCTTAGACTAATGCCTGCCCTGCCCTTGGAGGAGGATGCGGGGCAGGACCCAGGGCCACCAGAGGGGACTGTGCGCGTCTTTGAGGGGCCCAGGAGTCTGCTGGTTTTTTTTTTCCGGTTGTGACTAAGGGCTTTGGGTTAAACACATAATTTTGATGGATTTAAAATGGCTTTGTTTTTCTCTTATGATTTATGAAAGTAAGGCATACAAATGAAAACACTTTTTAGAAGGTGAAAGGTGTCAAAGGGCTAGGGAGCTCGTGTGCTCTGACTCTGGGGCCGCGTGCACGCCGCGTCCCTGTCGTCTCTGGTTTCTCTTTGCTGTGTTGGTCGGAGCACTGATTCTCTGAGAACACGTTGTACACCGGCCCTGTTTTAATCCTGTTCATCTTATCCCTGTTCCCAGTCTTTAACTTTTACATCAGCGGTCATCCAGTCCATAAATATTTGTTTTCTTAGACTAAATTCTGAGAAGTTGAGGCAAAGGATATTTTCAGGGTTCTCATTTGCCCTTAAGAAAGATGTGCCAGTAAGAGGGCCTCTGCCCGAGGCAAAGGATATTTTCAGGGTTCTCATTTGCCCTTAAGAAAGATGTGCCAGTAAGAGGGCCTCTGCCCTCAGCTTCATCAAACCTGGGAATATTTTTTTTTAATTGCCAATTTGATAAAGAAAAGATAGCGGTTTTGTTTTGTTTTGATTTCCATTTTGTGGTTAGTTTATTTTCAGCTGTGTGCAAGCTTTCTCTGGTTACGGGGAGCAGGGCTTCTCTTGCTGAGGAGCACAGGTTCTAGAGTGCAGGCATGGTATCTGTGGCACGTGGACTGGATTGCCAGCGGCAGGTGGGATCTTCCCAGACTAGGGATTGGACCCGTGACCCCAGTACTGGAAGGCAGGGTCTTAACCACTGGACCACCAGGGAAGTCCAAGATAGCAATTCCTTTAAATTTAAATTCTTTTGGATAGTCTGTGAGATTGGACGTTTCTTCCGTGTTTGATTGTGTTAGGCTGACAAAAAGTTCGATTTCTTCCATAAGATAGTGGTTGTTGTTGTTCAGCTGCCCAGTCGTGTCTGACTCTTTTCAACCCCATGGACTGCAGCACTCTGGGTTTCTCTGTCCTTCCTCATCTGCTGGAGCTTGCTCAAACTCCTCTCCATCGAGTCGGTGATGCCATCCAACCATCTTGTCCTCTGTCACCTGCATCTCCTCCTGTCTTCAGTCTTTGCCAGCATCAGGGTTTTTTCTAGTGAGTTGGTTCTTCACATCAGGTCGCCCAAGTATTGGAGCTTCAGCTTCAGCATCGTTCCTTTCAGTGAATGTTCAGGGTTGATTTCCTTTAGGATTGACTAGTTTGATCTCCTTGCTGTCCAAGGGACTCTCAAGAGTCTTGTCCAACATCATAGTTCAAAAGCATCAATTCTTTGGTGCTCAGCCTTCTTTATGGTTCAGCTCTCACACCCATACATGACTGCTGGGAAAAGCAATAACTTTGACTAGATGGACCTTTGTAGGCAAAGTAATGTCTCTGCTTTTTAGTACTCTGTCTAGGTTTGTTATACGTTTCCTTCCAAGGAGCAAGCATCTTTTAAATTCATGGCTACATCACCGTCCACAATGATTCTGGAGCCCAAGAAGAAAAAGTCTGTCACTGTTTCCATTGTTTCTCCATCTATTTGCTATGAAGTGATGGGACCAGATGCCGTGATCTTAGTTTTTAAATACTGAGTTTTAAGGCAGCTTTTTCAGTCTCCTCTTTCACCTTCATCAGGAGGCTCTTTAGTTCCTCTTCGATTTCTGCCATAAGGGAAGGGTGGTGTTATCTGTATATCTGAGGTTATCGTTATTTCTCCTGGCAATCTTGATTCCAGCTTGAGATTCATCCAGCCCGGAATTTCGCATGATGTACTCTGCATATAAGTTAAATAAGCGGGGTGACAATATATGGCCTTGACATACTCCTTTCCCAATTTGGAACCAGTCTGTTGTTCTATGTCTGGTTCTAACTGTTGCTTTTTGACCTGCATACAGATTTCTCAGGAGGCAGGTAAGGTGGACTGGTATTACCATCTCTTGAAGAATTTTCCACAGTTCGTTGTGATCCACACAGTCAAAGGCTTTGGCATAGTCAATTAAGCAGAAGTAGATGTTTTTCTGGAATTCTCTTGCCTTTTCAGTGATCTAGCGGATGTTGGCAGTTTGATCTCTGGTTCTTCTGCCTTTTCTAAATCCATCTTGAACATCGGGAAGTTCTCGGTTCATGTACTGTTGAAGCCTGGCTTGGAGAATTGTGAGCATTACTTTGCTAGCATGTGAGATGAGTGCAGTTGTGCGGTAGTTTGAACGTTCTTTGTCAGAAACATAAAAAAAAGATTTGTGCAGAGTGTGGGAGGGTGCTGTGACTGATGAAACGTATCAGAAGTGGTTTCCTGCTGAGGTTTCTTCTGGATGAAACTCTGAGGTCGGGTAGACCAGTTGAAGTCGATGGTGATCAAATTGAGACAGTAACTGATTGCAGTCAACATTATACTATACAGGAGATAGCCTGTATCAAAATATCCAAATCAAGCATTGGCAGTCATTTGCACAAGTTTGGTTATTTTAATCACTTTGATATTTAGGTTCCATGTAAGTTAAATGAAAAAAATCTTGACTGTGTTTTTGCATGTGATTCTCTACCTAAACTTAAATGGGCTTCCCTTGTAGCTCAGTCGATAAAGACTCTGCCTGCAGTGCAGGAGACCTGGGTTCGATCCGTGGGTTGGGAAGATCCCCTGGAGAAGGAAATGGCAACCCACTCCAGTATCCTTGCCCAGAAAATCTCATGGACGGAGGAGCCTGCTGGGTTGCAGTCCGTGGGGTCGCAAGAGTCGGGCACGACTGAGTGACTCACACTTCCTTACTTTACTCTACTTGAACATAATGAGAACGTTTTGTTTTTAAAATAAATTGTGATGGCCGATGAAAAGTGGATACTGTACAAGAACATGGAATGGAAGAGCTCATGGGGCAAGGGAAATGAACCCTCACCAGCCACACCACAGACCAGTCTTCACCCAGAGAAGGTGATGTAGTGTATATGGGGGATTGGAAAGGAATCCTCTGTCAAGAGCTCCTTCTGGAAAACCAAGCAATGCGTTCCAACAAGTACTGCTCCCAGTTAGACCAGCTGAAGCAGCACTTGGCCGACAGTATCTGGGGTTGCTCAGGAGCAAACACGTCACCCTTCGTCAGGTTAGTGTAAGACCTTATGTTTCTCTGATGATCAGGCAAAACCTCGGCTGCGAAGTTCTGGTTCATCCACCGTGTTCACCAGACCTTGCACCTTCCGATTTCCACTTATTTTGGTCTTTACAAAATTCTTTTAATGGAAAAATTTCACTCTCCTGGAAGACTGTAAAAGGCACTTGGAACAGTTCTTTTGGCTCAAAAAGATAAAAAGCAGCTTCCCTGATGGCACAGTCCTAAAGAATCTGCCTGCCAATGCAGGAGATACGGGTTTGATCCCTGATCCGGGAAGATCCCACACACCTCAGAGCAGCGAAGCCCACGCGGCACAACTCTCTAGTCTGTGCTCCAGAGCCCAGGAGGCTCGACTGCTGAGTCCTCACACTGCAGCTGCCGAAGCCTATGCTCGGCCGCAGGAGACGCGCCCGAGCCGAGGGGCCCACACTGCGAGAGGAGAGCAGCCCCTGCCCGCCACAGCCAGAGGAGGCTCAGGGCAGCAGGGGCGGCATTGCCAGGGAACAGATGAGTGCACTGCTGAAGCTGCCTGAAGATGGCCGAAGGTAGCAGAGCAAAACACTGAATACATTGTTCAGTGCAATTTTTGATGAAAATGAAAAATGGCTTTTATATTTACTTAAAGAACAAAGGAACTTTTTGGTCAATCCAATATTTTTTGTGGATTATCATTTCAGCTTCCTCCCCCACCACCCTGCTCTTTGGGGGTGGGTGTTTGTTCTTAATGATTTTTAGGAGCTCTTTTTCATTGTGCGGATGTTAATTCTGTGTGAATGTGGTTTTAGTAAAAAAAATAAGTACTTACTTCGCAGTCATCTGGATTTTTTTTCCCCCCTCTCTAGTTTACCTAAAGCAGTAAAAAGAAGAATCAACGCATTGAAGCAGCTCCAGGTGAAATGTGCACATATAGAAGCCAAGTTCTATGAAGAAGTTCATGACCTGGAAAGAAAGTATGCAGCCTTGTACCAGCCTCTCTTTGACAAGGTCAGGATGCTGTTAGTGAGTTTTAGTAGTGTGTTTCAAATCTTTCACCAGGAAAGACATCCAGAAATACCTGGGGATCACTAAATGTCTTTCCTTAAGCCTCAAAACTTAGGATCTTTTTTTTTTTTTTTTTTTTACAGGATAACAAGTTTTATTTATGTATTTATTTATTTTAAAGTTAGGATCTTAGAACAAGTTATAAAAGCATCCAGTTTTCAGTCTTTTCATTCACATTATTTACAGGTTCATTGTCCTGACTCTCAAGTTTCTGAATAACTTTAAGATCTTGTGTCTTTGCTCTTAGAGAAGGGAGTTCATCACTGGTGACGTCGAGCCGACAGACGCAGAATCTGAGTGGCACAGTGAGAACGAAGAGGAGGAGAAGCTGGCCGTAAGTTGTGTCTTCACGCGCGCTGCCGGCGCTCTGTCTCAGCGCTGCGACAAGTGAGACGGCCTTGGGTGGTGACCTAGTGGTTAGGGCTTGGTGCTTTCCCCGCCACGGCCCGCTTCCAGTCCTGGTCTGGGGGACCGAGACCCCAAGCTGTGCAGTGCTGTGGGGGATGGGTAAGAAAAGAGAGAAGATGGTTTTCTTCTATGCAGAGGAGAGCTCCTAACAGTAGGCGTGGCTTCACCCTTAGGTTGAGTGTTTAGATTTCTTCAGGAGGATGAAACAGGGTGGCTTGCAAGTCTGGCGTCTGACTGGCTCTATCAGTTACTATGGCGAACCAGACACAGTCCCCCTTGTTGGCCATCTGGGGCAGCCTGCACGTGCTGCAGACTGTCTGGGGAGGTGAAGGAGGCAGAGATCCACAGGGGGAGAGCACCCCTGTGCCCAGAAGGGCAGATGCTGAAGGCAGGGCTGCAGTGGGCACAGCATACAGGAACTCAGAGCTGGCAAAGTGGCGCTGGTGTCTCTCGCCACTGGACGCTGGAAGGTGCTCCTCAGGTGATATGCTCTGACCCCCACCTGTTGGCAGCCTTCTCCTGGGGCTGGTGACGGGTACCGGTCCAGTGCTCTGGGAGTCCCAGCACGACACGGTGAGCTCTGTCACCTGATACTACATTTGGCAGTAGTCTTTCTATCCCATAGCGTAAACGTTCAGGGGATTTTTTGAAATGTATGTTATTTTTGATTGTTTACAAACATGTCAAGTCTGGTGTAGCTGAAGCTGTGCCTGTGGATAGTTGTGCATCAGGTCTTCACTGTGGGAGGAGAATCTGCCTCTGCTAGCCTGTAGGCCCCTGTCATCATTTCCCCTGAGAATCACACATCAGGGCTGTGATGTAGCAAAGACTCCCTTCCTCCCGGGCACATCACCGTCCTTGCCACCACCCTGCTGTTTGCACGCTGCCTCTGTCCCAACACCCCTGCAGCCTTGGACGTGCAGCAGGGCGGGTGTTTCTGTTGCGGAGGTCCTGGGGTGTCCTCTGTTGGTGATTGTCTGGATGGATGGCGAGCCAGTGCTGGGCAGCCTCTCTCCATCAGGGGCCTGCACCAGTCCCCAGCTCTGCTCCCCGAGGTCTGGAATTACATTGAGGAATTACACCCAGATCCGGATGCCTGAAAGGCTTTGTCCCTCTGAGACACTTGGGAGTGATGGCGCAGTGCTCCTGGAGGTGCAGATTCAAAGATGGGCTTTTGACAGAGGCTTTATGGGATCCTGAAGCTGTTATTCTGTGTTACATAAGCCACTGCAAAATCTGTAAACTTGTAGCTTCATATAATTATTCTATTTTGTTTCTTTGTATTTGTAGGGAGACATGAAAAATAAAGCAGTCATAGCAGAAAAAGAAGCAGCAGCAGCAGAAGAGCCAAACCCCAAAGGCATTCCGGAGTTCTGGTTTACAATTTTCAGAAATGTGGACATGTTGAGCGAGCTGGTACAGGTAGGCACACGGCCCACTCCCACTTACAGACAGGCGAGCTCCTTGTGAACTCTGAGCAGGCGTTGACGGGGGTGGAAAGGCCTCTTCTATGGCCATAGCTTGGAGGAGGAATCAGGCAGGGCCCCCAGCACCCTTTTGCCCTGCAGGGAAGGCCTGCCTCGCGGAACCTCTGCCAAGCTCCAGGTAGCTTTGCTGTTTGTTGCAGCCTCACCCCAGGAAGAGAATGAATAGATTCCAGAGCCTTCCCCGCCTCACATGATGTGGGCACGAGAGAAGTGTGGGGACGAGGGGCCCGGGTGGAAGTGCTGGTACTGAAGGGTCCCGTGTGTGCACATATGTGTACACATGTATCTGCACAGTGACCCACAGGCATGCACTTCCTTAGTCTTCTCTTTAGATTGATTTTTGAAGTTTGAAATGGGCCTGTCATGCAGTCTTGCTAATTGTACAAATATGTAAGGAGTTGCTATTATTCTTCTGATAATTTTCCTTGAAAAAGTCTTTTTTTCAATGGCAATGGCCGAGCTGTCTTTGACTTGCTTTATGGAGCTTTCTATAGTGAAGTGGTGAACCACTTAAAAGGTAACAATTGTGACGTTCCCTGAGGTGAGTTTCCAGAATTCGGAAACTGGTACTGCTCAGAAGTCGACAGGGCGGGTGGTCTCTGCATTCGGTTGAGGTGGCGCGGCACAGCGCTCGCACACCGCAGAGCGTGGCCGTGGTGGGCGTGCAGACGGCTGTTGCTGCCGCCGCTCCTGTGCAATTCCAGGGCAGTGGTCGTGGTGGTCCAGAAACGTGCTGCATCCTTGCCTCTGCCTGCCTGGTCTGATGCCTGTCTGGGCGCCAGAGCCTGAGAAGGCGTGGCAGGAATGCGCTCCTGCTCTCCGTCCAGACTGGGGCATGTTTCAGATACATGTATTAGAGTAGCCCTGTGTTCTTTTTTTCTTAATATATATATTTTGTAGAAGTATAGTTGACTTACAGTGTTTCAGGTACATAACCTGGTGATTCAGTGATACATAGACATATTTTCCATTACAGATTATTACAAGATAGTGACTGTAGTTCCCTGTGGTATACAGTGAACCTTGTTGCTTGTTGCATATCTATTTTTTTAAAATTAGAAATCTAGCATTCTATTCAGACTAAGTCAAATAAGTGGAAGCAAAATGTCATGCATTTTTCTGTCAGGAAAAAATTTGTTTTCTAAAATATATATATATTATACATGCTATTATATATACGTATACAAAAGCTTTTCTACTATGCTTGATAAAAACTCGAGAAAGAACATTAAAAAAAAAAAGATGGAGAAATTGGAAAACATGAATGAAATGGGAACACTGAATATGAAATAGAAAAAGTGAAAACAAATTAGGTAAAAGATCATATAGTCCAGTTGTTTTTAAATATGACTGCTCGTTAGAAAGATAGCTGGAGCTTTGGAGAATAAAAGTAATACCTGGGCATTTGTATTTTTCAAATAGTCCAAGATTATTCTGATATACATTTAGTTTACAGGTTTTTACAGGTGACTGCAGGCTACTCTATTAAATGGTAGTCTTGGTGATATAGGATTCTATTGTTTTTCTGTTGACCAATCATGATACAGTGATATTAAATGAGTAATAGTTACAAAATCACAATAGCGAAAGATGTTTATCAGTTTTCACAATCAATAGCCAGCAGAAAAATTAAAACTAATTATGATGGCTTGCCATAATGGGAACATGATTAACCTAACAATGTAAGATAATAACTTACAATTTGGGGGGTCAGGCAGAGTGATGTGGTCATTGGAGGTGCGCACATGAAAACTTTGCAGACAAGCGACAGTTAAGAAAATTCAGCGCCACCAAAGCAGCTTTAGAAGAGATGCTGAAAGAACTTCTCCAGACAGGAAGCACAGGCCTGTGTGTGCTTCTCCGAGCTTCCCTTCCATACGGAAAGGTATGGTTTTGGAAAAGTAGACCACCGGGGTTCCTGCTGGCCCAGGGGTCAGGACTCTCTGCTCTACCTGCTGGGCCCAGGTTTGATCCCTGGTTGGTAACAGATCCTGTAAGCTGAGGGGTGTGCTCCAAAAAGAGAAAAGCAAGAAAGAATACTGGATTGTGCTTTTAAAAGAATGCCATGAGCTAGAAATTTATTGAGAAAATTGAGTAGTACATGCTAGAACCAGATTCTCACTCTGACTGTGTTAGAGTCTCCCTGGCAACTTTTAAAACGAAGTAGCAGCATCAGTGCGTCCCCACCCCCCAGTCAGTGAGAGTCTGGGGTGCTGGTAGAGGCTCAGGAGATTCCGATGTGTCTTCATGACTTTGAAACTTGGGGGGAGCAGCTTTAAATCAGCCCTCAAGTAGCTTCCACTGCGGGCCCTTAGTTTTGGAACTGCTCGTTTAGGCCATTGAACGTTCTCGGCCCTCTGGTGTCAACACGTGGCTGGTGAGGAAGTGAAGACCATCATGGTTGTCTCGCAGATGTCGGACAGCACTGTGGGTACTGCTGGTCTGACTGAGCAGGGGGGAGATGCCCGTGCGTTACTGTGGAGCCTTGGTTTCTGCTTCTGGAATTTGGAGTTGACATCTCATACGGATGTGGCCTTTAAGAACTGTTTTGAGCTTACTTTTTGTCCAGAGACTTGCAAGGTGCCTTTGTTATTGCTGGTTTTGTTGTTGTTGTTCTATGCAGGCAGGCCTCGGAGACATTGTGCATTTGGTCCCAGCACCCTGCAGTAACATGAACGTAGCATTAAAGTGAGTCATGTGAATTTTTTGGTTTTCCAGTGAATAATAAAAATGAGGTTTACACTATATTATAATCTATTAAGTGTGCAAGAGCGTTATGTCTAAAAAATGTACATTTTTGTTGTTGTTGAGTCACTCAGTTGTGTCCAACTCTTTGTGACCCCAGGGACTGCAGCACACCAGGCTTCAAGTTCTGTCCATCACCATGTCCCAGAACTTGTTTAAAATCATGTCCATTGACAAAAATGTACATATCTTAATTTAAAAATACTTTATTGCTAAAAAATGCTAATCATCTGACAACCCGCGGTTAACAGAAACCTTCAACTTGCACAACAAAATCCAGAATATCTGTGAAGTGTGTTAGACGAGGTCTGCCTGTGATGTAGAAAGAACTTAAAATTGGGAAATTGGTAGTTTTCAGGCTTAATGAGCCTCAGGAAAACCTTTAGACTTTGGGGGTGAAGAAGTGACTGTTTTACAAATAAAGCGCCTTTCCTTAGTATGTGGTCTGCGGGTTTCAGGTCTTGTGACTTTTTTCCCGAGTTTTCCTCAGATAACAGGCGTGGTAGACTCGAGCGTTTGCACAGTGATGCCTTGTGAAGGCCTGGAGCCGTCCTTAGACGCTCTTCTGTAGTCCTGTCATTTAGGTCTCAAATGCGCTTTGTGAGTGGTCTTGCCCGTCAGTGACCGGATCCTTACTGCCTTGGGCCCTGAGGGGGAAATGGCTGCCCAGGTCAGTAGCTTGTCCAGCATTTCTTCTGGTCCTGCCTCTTCGGGGATGTGAGGACCACCCGTCTGCACTGACAGCGGGGTGGTGTGAGAGCCGGCAGGGCTCCTGCCCCATGGCAGACTCCCGCGGCCCCCCGAGGCTGGTGGTGAGTGAGCGTTTGGGTGGCTTCCTGGGAGTGACAAGGACAGAATTTCTGCAGGGCTGATGATCCAGAGTCTAGGCGGGCTGATGATCCAGAGTCTAGGCGGGCTGATGATCCAGTGTCTAGGCGGCGATGAAGCAGTGGCTCAGCGGGAACAGGTGTGCTGTCTTCTGCCACTCACCAGAACCTTCTTTTTTTCTCTCTGTGACTAGGAATACGATGAGCCAATCTTGAAACACCTGCAGGACATAAAAGTGAAATTTTCCGACCCTGGACAGCCTATGGTAAGTACTGCCTGGTGTCAGAGGGTCAGGGCCCCGAGGGTGACAAGCCGCCCGCATGCTGGGTGACCGAGTGACACGCTCACTCTCAGTCTCCCGCCTTGCTCAGCCGTGTGCAGGGCCGACTGGTGACCCTCCCAGAGGTGACTCCGGCCGCCCGCTGCTCGGCGGCCGGTGCAGCAGTCAGGGCCAGGGTGGGCCTCCTGGCTGGGCTTCACACTGCGCTGGGCTCTGCTTTCTGAGCCGGTTTCCCTCTGTCCTGTGGGCTGAGTCACGCTTCTCTCAGGCGTGTCCCAGGTTTCTGAGGATAGGCTGTGCAGACCCGGTCACAGAGGGTGGCGGCTGCATCCTCAGTACAGGCGGCACAGTAGCAGAGATCCTCGGGGCTGGAGGGGGTCTGGTGCCCTTGGTTCTAAGAGTGACTCGGGTAGGTACAATGCAGAGGCGTGCCTCTGCTCCTTGAGATGTGCTTACCAGAATGCTTGCTTCTGCGGGCTCTGCGCCAGCGAGTGAGTCTGCCAGCCCCGTTCTCTGTAGCCATCTCAGCACAAGGCTGCCTGCGAGCGCAGCTCTAACCTGCGGTCCTCCTGTGCCTGGCAGGGCCCATCCCAGCACCACAGCAGCTGCGGCGCCACCGCCTGCCTGCGGCTCTGCGTTTCAGGTCTTGGAGACACGGTGCCTGCGGACCGGATCGCAGGGCTTGTCCCCTTTCCTGTCCAGTGGGCGAGCCCACGGGCCACACACCTGTGTCTGTCCCTTCCCTGATGGCTCCACCCTGGAAGGATGTGCCAACACCCCCCTGCAGGTGGGGTGGGGGCGACAGCTGGAGTGATGCCTGCGCACGGTTTGGGGGCCCTTCTGGTAGCAAGGGAACCCCCTCTTCCCCACCACACCCCACTCATCGCAGGGCCTTCCCCCGAGACTCTCTTGACCAGGGTGAGGCTCGGCCCCACACCCCTAGAGATGTCCTGTGGCAGTGAGCGCGCTGTGATGGGTGTGAATGCTAGTCCCCTGGGGTGGTGGGGGTGTGCATGCGTGCGTATGTATGTGATCTGATGATTCCTGCCTTCCTCAGCCCATCTGTCTTAGCTTCCCGGTGGATACGGAAGTGGATTGCCATTTGCTCCTTCGGGGGACCTTCCTGACTTTGGGGATCAAACTCGGGTCCCTTGTGTCTGCTGCACTGGCAGGCGGATTCTTTACCACTGTGTCCCCTGGGAGGCTCATAATCACACACATACCCCTCCCTCTTGAGTCTTCCTCCTGCCCACACCCCCAGCTTGTTCTCAACTAGACAGAGGCCTAGGGAAAGAAGGAAAAGTAGGAAAATGTGAAGAAAGGAAGTAACACCCTGGGCTTGGAGAGATGACAGGGGAAAGAGATGAGGGAAAAGTGGGAAGTGAGTAATTGTGTCCATTCAACAGTAGGGGGTGATGAAGGACAGTGGAACAGAGCTGTTGGTTAGTCCAGCCCAGTCTCCAGGGTGGAGCGGATGCTGACAGAGCCCAGTGTGGAGATGGGTTTCCAGGGGACAGGTCAGGAGAGGCCTGGGGAGGGATCCCACTGACGGTCTCCCTGCCCGTAGCTGCCTTCCTGTCTGTGGTGCCAAAAGTTTGACTTCAGTTTTAGACTCAGAGGATTCAACAACAAAACAAACCTCTTGTTACACACAATTTCAATTTCTTATAGAAGGTTATTTGACTTAATATACAGTCACTAAAAGAATAGAAACAATAGAAGTCACAGTGCGTGTATCAGAAGGTTGGGTCAACAACCTACATCCAGACTCCAGCAGGCTGGGAAGTCCGTGTTAATAGCAGTCTGGGGTCCCGATTGGGAAAGGGTCCTGGGCGGTGCGTCTGCCCCGTAGGAGATCCTTCAAATTGGAGTTTTCGGGTTTCCTGTTTACAGTCTCAGGCCCCAAACCAATATCATGATCAGTTTGTGCACAGAAATGTAGCTCTGGTTTCACTTTAACTTTGACAGTGCTATTTGTTTCATCTCTAAGATCTGTTAGACCATGAGGGGCTTGCCAGGCCTCCAAGGCCTTAAGAGATTCCAGGACCCATTCCCTTCCTTATCTCAAGTGCCACTTGACTTGCTTGTGCTTGCAGGAGACGCAGGTTTGATCCCTGGGTCGGGAAAATCCCCTGGAGGAGAGCATTGCAACCCACTCTGGTATTCTTGCCTGGAGAATCTCATGGACAAGAGGAGCCTGGCGGGCTCCAGTCCATAGGGTCACAGAGAGTCGGACGTGACTGAGCGTGCATGGTTTTTACTTAACCGTCTGTTTGTTTGACCTTGTGCGTCATAAGACTCCTTAGATCCTGAGGGGCTGGCCAGGCCTCTAGGGGCTTAAGAGATTGCAGGACCCATTCCTTTTCTTATCTAGAGTGCCACCTGACTCACTGTGCTCGCAGGCAGGCCTGGAATCCGGGCAGGTCAAGAGCAGGTGAGAGCCCTGCTCCCCCGCTTCTGAAGCCTGAACAGGACGTTTCTCTGTTTTCCCGATACTGTCCTGACCACACTTTGGTTTCCCAGACCTGCGGCTTGTGCTCGTCGGCCTCCCTGCCCTGCTGCTGGGTCTCTGGCCGCCTGTGTCTGCCTCCCAAGCCTTCGTGGTCCTTCTCTTCCTCCTCCCCTTAGTTTGCCTAAATTACTTTCCCAGCTGATTGTTGTACCCTTGGAATAAAAACGGGAAGAGCTAGCATTTCACTGGTAATGCCTGTGACCCCAGCTGCCGTCTGACCGCTTCTGCAGAGTAGCCCTCGGGGGGGCCTCATGGAGGGAGGGGCTTGTGATGCCCTGTTACAGGCGAGGGAGCAGAAGCACAGGGAAGTTGGGTGGCCTCTCAGAATCTCACAGTGCTGACGGGCAGAGCCCATCCAGGCCCGGAGTGGGTCCTTTGGGCCATCTGTGGTCCCCGAGCCCTGGGGAAGCAGGGCTGAGGGGAAGGTCTGCACACGCTGCTGCTCCTGGCCAGGTGTCCTTCTCAGATGGAACACAGTCCTCAAAACAGGGTGATGGGAGTCCCAGAGCATTCCATTTTGTTAACTTCGGATGTTGCCAAATCGCCCTTTGCAGTACACGAGTGCCCTTGTTTCCCAAGATACTCACCAGTGCTGCCTTCTTGGGACTTTTTACCCAGAGAAGGGGGTATCTCATTTTCTGCTCATTTTGTTCTGTGGGCATGCATGTCTTCTTTGTTGCCATTTGATTTGTTCCCACTGCTTTGTACCCACTCTGTCTGTTGAGTGCTTTGTGAGTGAAGGGTGAGCGCGTCCATGGTGGGTCCAAGAAGGCTTCTCTGCCCCTGTGGAGTCTTGCGCTTTCACTGTGGGGCCGGGAAGGAACTACTCCGCCCAAGAAGTGCGGAGAGGGGCTGGGCTGCAGCTGGCCTCCCCCTCCAGACCCCCACCTGCTGTGACCGCGGGGGCAGGGTCCCGGGCAGCGGGCCCACGTGTGCACTCAGGGTGGTGGGGGTTTCCCCAGCTGGCCTGGGCTCTAACTTTGGGCCGGTGGTTTTGCAGTAAAGACAGTCTCGTTATGTGGCCACACCTCCTGAGCTCTTCAGTGTTCTGCCTTAGGTGGGAGCTGGGTTCCAGCAGGTACTGTGTGGTTCATAAAATCTGTCGCCAGTTATCTGTGGATTTTAAGTGGTGTTCACCCTGAGTTGTTTTTTTCCCAGTCTTTTGTATTAGAGTTCCACTTTGAACCCAACGACTACTTTACCAATTCAGTCCTGACAAAAACGTACAAGATGAAGTCAGAGCCAGACAAGGCTGATCCATTTTCCTTTGAAGGCCCTGAAATTGTTGACTGTGACGGGTAAGAAAATGCCATTAAGCTGCTTTTTTTTGAAACAAAAACAGGAGATGGTTTTAAAACGTCACAAGTAAGATAGAAGATAAGAATAAAGCAAGAAGCCTTCTATCTGTTTAAAGGCCCAGCAGACAGAGATAGAAATCAATGAAACAATCTCTCCATTTGGGGATATGACAGCTGGTGCTGGGAAGCATGTCCTGGGGTTCCCTGGGCCACCATATAGGGTGATGGCCAGGTTTCCCCAACCTAATGCGGGCCTGGGGATCCTCAGTCTCCCAGAGTGGCGCAGTGATCGTGAGACTAGTCAGCTCCTCTTGGCAGGGCCCTGGTGAGCAGGTGGCTGGGTCAGTGCAGGGCTGCGTGAGCACGCGTGGTCTCGGGACCCAGTGCCTCTAACCCGCGGTCTGTGCACCAACCACCACAGAGAGCGGCTTTGAACGCGTCCTCTCGGTTGGTTTGAGACATTTTGGGAAATCATCTTATTCTTGATTGAAGCATTTGTTTACTGAACCAGGGACTTAGCCTGATGAATTTCCCTGTGTGCGTGAGTATACAGAGCTTGATTAAAATTCTGCCGGACGTGGATGGCCAGAATGCCTTTGAAAGATTGTTGCCCAGGCCATCGAGTGAGGAGCCTTCCTCTCTGCACACTCTGTCGGCCAGCGTGACGCAGAGGTCAGCCCCGCCGGGCCCGCCCAGCGCCCCTGGAAGCCACGTGTCCTTCACCGGCTGGCGGTGTCTGCGGTGGCCGCTGTGTGTTCCCTGTCTAGTCCCGCTCGCTTGTGGCCTTGAGACCTTGAGCCTAAGTGGGGACCTTCCTGTGTGCTGTGGGGTCTGTAACGGGGCAGCAGTGACAAGCTGCTGACCAGGTGTGGTCACGGTGGGACCTGGTGGGACGCTGCGTGACCCTCCTGCGCCTGGGGCCTCTGCCTCCTTGCGGACGGCCCAGTGCCCGCTCGCAGGTGCTCAGGTCACGTTTCCCGTGAAGCACCGAGCTGTGACCTGCTTGCCGGGCACACGGTGATCACGGTCTTATCCCCATAGGTGTACCATTGACTGGAAGAAAGGGAAGAACGTGACCGTCAAAACCATCAAGAAAAAGCAGAAGCATAAGGGCCGAGGCACCGTGAGAACAATCACCAAGCAGGTCCCCAACGACTCCTTCTTCAACTTCTTCAGCCCGCTGAGAGGTGAGCCGGGACGTGGGCGGAGTGGCAGTGAACTTCGGGTGTCTGGTCGTGGTCCTCTGGCGAGCTCGGCGCTGGGGGCTGCTCTCACATGCGCACAGCCTGCAGGCCGCCCACCCACCCCTCTCAGCCTGGGGTGCGGTTTTCTCTGCACACCTCGGTGTGGAGCAGGTGGCGGTTGGGCGTTAGGTGTTGTGACAGACATGGACTTAGGGCAGAGTGGGGGCTGGGCAGCGGCCTCTGTCCTCCCCTCCCACAGCTCCAAACCCAAATGGGACTCGGAGGGCTGAGAGCATAGTTTGGTGGCCCTCTTCACGTGACCTCCTGCTCCCGAGAAGGCGACAGCCAGAGCTGCTGGTGGTGCTAGAATGTGGATGTGAGGGGGGAACACTGTTGTTCGCGAACGGAAGCCAGCCCCGCTCTAGGTGATGGTGGCCTTCACGTTGCTGTGGAGGCCGCCGGTGGCGTCTCTGGGCTCTGACCCCAGGCTGCGTGTCAGGCTGCCCGGCCCCACTCAGTGGCTTGTTTTTCACTGTTGTGGCTGTTGCCTCGGTTTGTTCTTGAGCCCGAAAGGCCCCAGGGTCTGTCAGTGTAGGGGATAAGATCAGCTGTAAACATGATTCTCAGATTTCCTTGTTTGGAAAGATCCCTTTCAGAGCCTTGCCTGGGAATGTTGGAAGTTTCCTGTGTCAGTTCACCATGAAGAAGAGGGGCTTTGAATCCTAAATTCACTGAGTTTGTTGGACTTCCAGATAATTAATAGCAATTAAGATGGAATTAGGTGGACTTGAGGATTTGGGGGAGTTTAGCGGGGTTCAGAAACTGTGTTGTGGTTGTTGTCCAGTCGCTCAGTCATGTCCAACTCTTTTCAACCCCATGGACGGCAGCACGCCAGGCTTCCCTGTCCTTCACCCTCTCCTGGAGCTCGCTCAGACTCATGTCCGTCGAGTCGGTGATGCCTCCAACCATCTCACCCTCTGGTCCCTTCCCCTCCTGCCTTGTATTGTGGTTGCATGTGTCTGAAATGTATCAGAAGTCACTAAGTTGTATACTTGAAATAGGTGAGTTTGAGGGAGTGTCACTCAATCAAACCATACCAAGTGATATGCTCTATGAAAATGAACAAAGGTTGACAGTGGGGGAGGGATGATGGAGTGGTCAAGGAAAAAAATTAAAATTAATAAAATGATTTTTCAGATGTAGGAAACTTAGCATTGCTAGTCCAGTGACCCCTTTAGTTTTAGTCCTACAAAACTGGTCCAGAAGTCGGTGAGCAAGCCCTTGTGATTGCTGCCCCCAAGGCCAGAGTCCCAGAACCTGCATCTCGCTTGTACGTGAGGCTGGGGGGCCACCCCGGGGGTGGGGCTCACACTCCACCGGGGCCCAGACGGCAAGTGCCCCTCGCTGGGCTGGCTCCACAGGGACAGGCCTCAGTCTGTGCCCAGACAGTGTGTGCCCAGCAAAGGAGACTCACTCACCACGTGAACATGACTGGGCCCTGCTGAGCAGGGGTTCGGGCCCGCCTCTGTCACGTTCGGCTCTGTGCTGGGCTGTCCTGGCATTTGGCACTGGGCCTTGTCAGTGCTGGCAGCCCGCCCTCCTGGGATGGTCAGCGCTGTCCCCTCCCTTCTCCTTTGCAAACAAACAGAAGTAGAGTCCCAGCCTAGTTGAGCTGCTTCGCCTCAGTGCCGTAAGACATAAGGGGCTTAGAGTTTCCTGTTTTCTATTGAATCATCGCACGGAGTTACACGAGGTAAAATACCACTTAAAGCACAGATGCGCCAAGAGACTGCAGTCTGGCCGCCGGTGCACCATTCCACCTGTTGACCTTTAACTCTGCAAGTTCTCTTCTGAAAGTGGCCTTCTCAGGAGGGGCCAGGAGGCCCTGCGCAGCTTCAGTCTGTGGTGGCAGGAGGAGGTGGGGGGCATCCCGCTTTGGCGATTTCTGGAGCACCACGCTGCTTATCTGTCAGCCGAGCATCCCGCGTGGGCTTTAGAAAGGTTTGGTTATCTGTGTAATCAGATGTTTTCTTTTTTTCTAGCATCAGGGGATGGAGAATCACTGGTAAGATTTGCGTTGTTATTTAGTCTATTCTACTGTTAAGGGCTATTTCCCAAGTAGTTTGCTGCTTCCTTTTTAACCAGTTCCTGCTCCCTAGAAACCAGGGGGAGCCTGTGTCTGTTGCCCCGTGGTGTGGGACAGAGGCATGCCCTGCGGGTGGGCTTCAGGGGCAGCCGTGTCCTTCAGCCTGCGCCCAGCACTTACCTGTCTCTCCTGCAGGGTGGCAGCGCGGGTGCTGGGCACCTTTAAGCCAGGTCCCCGGCAGTGGGGTGGGGTCTGGTGAGAGACTGTGACATTTACCCCGTGGAAACAGGTAAGCACTGAGCTTCCCCTCCCAGGATGAAGACTCCGAGTTCACATTAGCCTCCGACTTTGAGATCGGACACTTCTTCCGTGAGCGGATCGTGCCGCGCGCCGTGCTCTACTTCACAGGGGAGGCCATCGAGGACGACGACAACGTAGGTGGCCTGGGGGCGGGGGTGGCTGTGGGTCCCGTGCAGCAGGCCAGTGCGCTCTGGAGCCTGGGGAGAAGGCATGGCCGTGGCGTCTTGGGAGTGGAGCACCCAGTGCCTGAGTCAGCCTGTGCAGTGACGCCTTTCAGGGTATCCTCTAGACCCACGGGCTCACTGCTGCATGCGAGGCGTGTGGCTGGGGTGACCTCCAGACGTGGGGACTGTCACGCAGTGCCACGTGGTGACTCTCAGAGCTGAGTCTTGCTGCCGTGTGGCATACTGAGTCCAGAGAGGGAACCGCACGCTCCGCAGAAGATGGGCCCCTGGGCCAGCCCCTTCCCTTCGCCCTGGAGGGGCTGGCCTCTCGCAGTCAGAGCTTGAGAGCGGGTTCCCTGAGCCCGCCTGGCCACCTGTCCCCGAGCCATCATCCAAGAACGTACTCCGTCACGAGCCAGCCTGGGGTGCCGCCAGCCTCCTTGCTGTGTGGAGAGGAAGTTTTGCCCTGTGGTGTTACTGGAAGCGGTTTAGTTGACATTTACTCCCTCGTGTTGAGCACTCTGAGGTTTCCTTTCTGGTGAGGTCTGTGGGGGCTTCCAGCCGAGCAGCAAAAGCCAGGCGGGTCTCCACTGCTCAGCACCCTCCTTTGTGCTGCAGGCCCCAGAGCACCGAGCGTGGGCCAGCCCAGGTGTGGGCGGCACTGTCTGAGACCAGTGGGCTTCTCAGGGGCAGTCTGCCCATCCCCAGGAATCCAGGAACGTGGACACATGGCATGGTGTATCCGGGGGTCATGAAAGCACCCGGGTCGTTGCTCAAACTTCAGTTTAGGAGATGCTGGTTGTACAGATTCTGGACCGATGCCCTCCAGTAGCACTTTCTCCAGTGAGTGCACCGTCCTGCACTCGGTCCACTGCGGCAGGGCTGGCGCTGCATGACCCTGGACGACGTGAGATACAGCCGTTGGCAGCTGAGGAGCCAAAGGATCGGATTTACCTAGTCTGGCCAAGAAGGATCTAGTGGCCGCACTTTGGAAACTGCCTCTAGACCTCTGATGATCATACACCCTCCATTGTGAACACCGCATTCTGCAGTGTGTGTGTGTATTTACTCACAGCACACGCAGGGCGGCCACTCCTGGTGACATCTGTGCCTGTAATCACGCCTAATGCCTTCGGCCACACACCACAGGTTCACGGTGTGGTCCAGGGGCTCACACCGCCTACAGGCCTGGAGCCCCAGTTCTGCAGGTTCCCACAAGTACGCTGGGGCTGATGTAACCACTCTAACTGCTCTTCCAGCTCCTGACCAAGGAAGCGCAGCGGCGTGGGGACAGGCTGCTCGGAGCCATGCAGGGGCCCCGGGTGTCGTATCTGGGTGGAGTGCACACAGGCGTTCGGGCTTTGTCTTCCACACTCGTGTTGGTCGCCTTGCTTGGAGGCTTGGCTCTGCCAGAATTTGAGGTGCCCGCACAGAGCTCTCAGAGGACAGTCCAGGCTGAAACGGTGCCTGTGGAGCCTCGGGAAACCAGCATGTGAGCCTGTGTAAGGCTGGTTTCCGCGGGACCTCAATGCCGCAGCAGAGTCTCGCGGGCCGCCTAGCACTGTCAGAGGCTTCTCAGGACACAGGTCAGGAAGGAGCACGCAACGTCCCCACCCCGCTGCTGCTCGGGCCGAGGGGGCATGCAGACCAGGCCCGGCGCTGCGCTCTGCTGAGTGCCTTTGAGCTGTTGCTGAGGACTGTGGGAGGGGGGTTCCAGGAAGAAAGATCGTGAGAGAAAGCCTGCCTCATCTGCAGGTGCCTTGTTGATGGGATTGAGGTTCATGTAGTTTTGTTTGCTTCTGGGAGCAGCCTAATATCTGGGACTTGCTGGGAGCCTGACCAGCAGTGTGTTTGGACATGCGAGAGGTTGGATCCAGACATTTAGCTACAGTGTTGGAGTTTCTCCTGGCATACTTCTTCTGGCATACTTTAAACACCAAGGTTTTATTACATTCCTAGCCACAGATAAATGGTTTCCCCTTGTCTGAGGTGTAAAATGACGCTGAGAGTCCCGTGTGTGATAAAACCATGCAGCTGGTCTACTTAGATTGGGCTAAAGAGCCTGGTTGGACACGGCGCACCCCGAAGTTGACCGGCTCCTTCTGTGCCCCACCCGCACCCAGAGTCTTTGTTTGGGGTGGTTTTCAGATTCCTGGTGTCCCGTGAACATGTCAGGACACAGCAGGAAGCTGGCTTCTGCTCAGAGGCCGTGCCACTGCCCGCTCTCTTCAGGCCTTACCACTGTGAGCACGGGACAGGGGCTGTATCTGGATCAAGTTGCTACTACGCTTTATAAAAACGTAAAAACCTCTTTCCTTCCCTTTCAGTTTGAAGAAGGTGAGGAAGGAGAAGAGGAGGTAAGACCTGGCTCACATGCGACATCATTCCCTGAGGTGGTCCTCGGCCCTCTCTGCTTAGTGGACTGAGGCTGTGGGGTCTAACTGGCCGCGATGCCCTTGTCTTGTTGGGGACCTGCCCCGGAGGCCCTTAGCCCTGGCGAACACTCGCTAAGACGCAGCGGATGGGTGGCAGCGTCAAGTGGGACCCTGCAGTGGGCTTATGAAAGTGCATCCTAGAAAATAACCGTTTATAAACAATCCGCTTGTTCAGCAGTGTGTTTACTTCAGGGACATCTGTGGGCAAAGTGTCCAGAGGAGGGGTTTGCTCGAGTGTGGGTGGTAGTGACTGCAGCCAATTTCCTTGTGAATCAGAGTAGCCCTGTCAGTGAGCCCTGCTCACTCGCCCTCCTTTTGATGCAGGAGCTAGAAGGTGACGAGGAAGCAGAAGATGACGATGATGCCGAAATTAACCCCAAGGTGAGTTGTCGGGAATTCCCACACCTGTGTCTGCTACACTGCTGAGCTTTTAACACACGTTCCTAGCTTTGAGCCAGGCTGTTATGAGCTGTTATGAACATGTGCCTGTCATTCTCTAATTAGATAAGTTAAAATTGTACCAGAAATATACTCGGATGACGAGCTGTTTAGATACCTGATACATAATTTTGAGTGTTAAATGGCTTTCCATCTCTTTCTCAGTCTGTGTCTTATTTATGTAAACTTACTTGGGAGAGCAGCTTTACGTTCCTTATTTTTATGATATAGTTGGCAGCATGAATAAACCTTTGTGTTTGTTTTTGGAAAAGGTACGGAGATGGGGTTTGGTTTGTCTTGATGACTAGAATAAAGGAGCAGCAGGCATGACTTTACAGTTGTAACTGGACTGAGACGAGTGAGGGGATACGTCTCAATAGCTTAGATAATTTGAAATAAATCAGGAAGCTTTGCAAAAACCAGCAAAGAAACAGCTGATGAGGGTGAGTGGCAGCCCCAGTAATTTTACACATAAGTGAGATTGAACCTACTGTCTCAGATGAGCCTACATTAAGGAACTTGCCACTTGACACGTGCTTCAAATACGGAAGTCTTTTAATGCTGCTCTAAAGCTGTGTTGGGAATTACTCTCGTGTGCTCACATGAAATTTATGGCTCCCCTGCCCCTTAGGACTAAGGGTGTCACAGTCCGTCAGAAGACTCACTGTACTCGGTGCTGTGGACTCTCTATCTCTGAGTAGACGTTGTTTCCCCCGGTCGGGCCCTAGGCTGGCCGTGTGTAACTGGGTCTGAGCGCTCTGTGGCACCAGCCATGTCTACGAGTGCACGCTCACAGTGGTGCTTCCTTCTAGGGAAGGGTGTGAGTGTGTTCACCACCTCAGCGTACCGTGTAGGTACTGCTCGGGGCATGGGCTTGGGCACGTTCATCTCTTAAGCCAGCCTGTCCCCTTTATGGTGGAAGCATACACACCGGGGCCCCGAGTGCCTCGCCCTTCGCCGTCAGCTGAGGAGCTGTGCCCTGCCCGCCCCCAGGTGTATGAGCCTGGCTGTCCTGCGGCCCTCGGGGGCCTGAGGCTCGTGTGCACGGCGGGGTTCCAGGCCAGAGGCAGGCGGCTCTGGCGTCCGCCTCTGACTGCAGGGCCGTCTGCCGCTCGTCTCCGCGGCACTGAGGCTGCTCCTTCCTCCTGTCGTGGCCTCCCTCCCGTTGTCGTCCCCTCTTCTCTCCGTGGCCAGCCGTCCTGTCTTTTCTCATGTCTGGGTTTTCTAGAAGAGCAGCCGCACCTGGTGATCACAGAAAGGAGGGAACGGCCGGCACTCACCCTCCGTGAGGGCTTCGGTGTGTTCGTTGGTCAGGAGTGGGCGAGAGGGACCAGAGGCTCGTGGGGTGCGGGTCTCAGCCATGCCGAGGGGTCTGGGCTGGTCCTCTGGGGCCGTGATGGGACACTCCTGCTCCTCTGGTGCTCCTCTGAGGACTCTCAAGTCAGTCTGCCACGAGCAGGAGCAGTATGGGAGAGGGCTGTCTGGGTATTAGAGGTGCAGATCTGAGTGTCAGGTTCCCCATCTCAGGGTTGATATTTTGCAGCCCTTTTGTACCATGAGAAATTGGCTCTTTCCTCCTGTTTAATTTTGTGCATTTCATTTTCTCTCATGCTGATGGTTCCTTTCAATTTTTTTCCCCGTTTAGGTGTAATTTTTGTCTGTTAATCATTCATACGTTTCTAGGTAAGGTGGAATTCCATTCATTCATATCTTCCAAACTTGTGGTCTGTGTTCTGTAACAATGCCACATTGTGACTGGTACCGTGTCCAGGGATGCTCAGCACATGCGGGGCTGGACAGGGCTTGCTGAGAGCAGGTGTCTGCCGTGTGCACTTTGAAAACCAACCGACAGAAACCACGTCGGGCTCCTGTTGGCCGATGTCACTGGTGTGGCATCTTTGTTGGCATTGAAACTGCCCCCCCCGCCCCGAGTAAGAGGACAGAATAAGGGTCTGGAACCAGAGTGCCCAGGCCCCCCAGCAGGGCCAGCCTGCTACCCACTGTGGCTTTTTTTTCCCTTGAACTTGTGTCTGTTGCTCGTTCCTACTTCTTAAGTTCACGTGTTGTGCAGACCAGCAGGGAGTGAAGGGTGGACTTTCACGTGCCAGAATGTTCTGTCTCAGGAGCTGCTGGCGCCAGCGTCCCTTGGGTGTTGGTGAGTGCAGTGGAGGTTGCCGAGGCGTGTGCGGCTCAAGTAAGAGAACCGGCTCCAGACCAAGGCCTGTCCCCTGCAGGGTCCCCTCCCCATGGCTCTGCCCATGTCACGAGTCCCCCCCACGGACGCCGCTGTTGGCTCCTGTGGGGAAGGGAGGGAGGTGCGAACAGGAGACCTGTGTGAAGCCGGGGTGGCAGTGTTGGCATCTAGGCGGGAGCAGGGCTCTCCAGACTGTGCTTGTGTGGAGGGTGTCTGTCTGCATCCCCTCCCTTCACTCAGGCGGGCTGGCTTTCTTAGAAAACCAAGGCAGCCAGGCAGGGGGAGCTACAGAAGACTTTTTTTTTTTTCTTCTACAACAGGTCTTCACTGTGGATGCAGGATCTTTAGTTGTGGCATGCAACTTCTTGGTTGCAGCATGTGGAGTCTAGTTCCCTGACCAGGGATCGAACTCTAGCCTCCTGCATTGAGGGCATGGAGTCTTAGCCACTGGACTACCAGGGAAGTCCCTACAGAAGACTTTGGATAGGTGACATGCACAGCCACCGTGGGTCCCATCTGAGGGCTTCGAGTGGTTATGTCAGGGTGTGTCTCCTTGCTCCTGGCCCCCACTGCCTGTGGTGTCTGAGGGGTGTCACCGGGCTTGTTCGGCCCGAAGCCCCTCTGCTCCCCACCCCCTGCCGGCGGTGTGGGCCGTCCGTGAGCAGCCCAGCGTGTCCTCTGGGCAGAACCAGTCACGCTGTCAAGCGTCTGTCTCCAGGCCCGGAGCCCCTGTCGGGGAGGCCGTTCCCAGGACTGAGCCAGCAGCGCTGAGGCTGGGGCAGGTCGGTGGGGGCCTTGTCCTGGGCTCCACCCTCTCGGGCAGTTGCTGTCTGTGAAGGCCTTTCTCTTAAATTCCCCCAGCTGGCAGGGGATTGGCTCTCTTGTCCCTTGATGACCGGGCTTCTGACAGCTTCGTGATGTGAGGGCGGGGTTTCCTGCAGGTCATCTTGGCCCCTCCCAGGCCCGAACCATGGTGTCTTGTTGACAGAGTTCACTCGCGTGACTGCAGGGCTCTGTCAGGGCTCCAGCCTGGAAGTTGCGTCCGTGTGGATGCTGGCCCGGGGTGGGGCTGCGCTTGGCCTTTGGGAGGCAGCGTGCCATGGGTGGCCCTGCTCCCCCTGACTGATGAGCTCCACTCCGCCTCCCCAACTCCCGCTGCCCATCCTGGTCTTGGGACAACCAATTCCCACCAGCGTCTGCAGGCCCCTGAGGCAAACAGTTGGTGATGCACGCTGGTGGTAGAGAAGGTGTGGCCCCAGAGACGGCATGCTGACTGCGTGCTGCTCCGGGTGATACGGCATCCTGTCTGTCCACTGTGTCCATTTACCTGGAGGGAGGTGGGGCCACATCCCAGTCCCGAGCCTCCTGCCCGGGGCCCACCTACCCAGCCCACCACCCGCCACACGGTCCCAGCCCCTCGGCCTCAGCTCTCCAGCCTGCTTTCTTCCTGCAACTCCAGCTGTGGAGACACACGTCTCCCCTTGTCCACAGACGGCTGTGTGCCGCTGCCCCAGCCCGGAGCACCTCTGTACACCCAGTGAGTCTGGAACCAGCCTCTGAGCCCTGTGGCCATGTGTCTGGGCTGCCTCCAGGCCCCCTTTGAGATGACAGTTAGGTCTCTCTTTTTTTTTTTTAATTTATATATATATATATATTTTATTTATTCATTTATTTGGCTGCACCAGGTCTTAGTTGCAGCATGTGGGATCTAGTTCCCTGACCAGGGATTGAACCTGGGCCCCCTGCATTGGGAGCTCAGAGTCTTAACCACTGGGCCAGCAGGGAAGTCCTTAGGTCTCTTCTAAGTAGAATTTCTCGTCGGGGTGCTCGCTCTGGGCCCAGGCTCCTGGTGGTATTCCTGGAGAGTGTGTGATCAGGTGCTGTTAGCCCAGTGCTGGGCTGCCCCGGGGCCAGGCCTGGAGTGAGCATCCCACTCGGCCCTGGGCTTGTGCACCTGTGCATGAGGGCCTCAGCCCGGACCCCGCGATCAGGGATTTGTCTGCATCCTTTACACGTGGTCTTTTCATCCTGCAAATGTGGGTTCCCACAGGATGGTGCCCTGCTTGTTAATCCTCAGCATCAGTTGTGTTATCCCAGATGTTTCTTTTAAACTGTGTGATGCCAGTTTTTCTTAGACTCTGTGGACATGCCACGTTATATTCAGAGTAATTTGTCATCTTCCCAGCCAGAAATCATGAATTCCTGTTGAGTAAATCATTGGCTCAGAAGTATTAGTAAAATTGATGTCTGTCTCTGAGGCTCTTGTGGTCTCCGCACAAAATTCATGGGGTTGCTAAACAGGTTGAAATGCTGTGAGCTGTTCTCCGTTAGATTATAGTCAAGTGAGTCTGCTCTGGGGAATGGTCTCCCCCTCCGCCTCTTCTGGAAGGTTAGCGTGCCAGCTGTGGGGCTCCTGGAAGGCTTGTGCTTTGTCTGTGGAGCTCTTAGTGGCCCCTCATCCCTGTCATGGCCTTGTCCCCGTCAGTGAGCGGAGCTCTGAGGCCTGGTCTTGGGGACAGGGGTGCTCCAGGCAGGGCCCTGAAGCCTGGTCCATCCGTGCTGTCCCAGAGCCAGGGCCTTCTGGCGTGGGGCCGGGGCGCTGCCCTGTCTATCTAATCGCTCTCTGCCACTTAGGGACCTCCCCTCACCCCGAGATCCTCCTGCTGACAGTTAAGGTGTTTTAAACAAGAAAAGGCAGCCCCACTGTGCCCTTGTTTCTGGGAAGTTAGCTTATTTTTTTTTATACTATTTTCAAAATGTATGTTAGCAACCAGTTTTTTAGTAAGAACAAGTGAAGTATTGAGTCTTTGTTTCTGTTGTCGGATGGAGATGCCTGCTGACTGGTTGCCTGTTTCTCTACAGTCTTGTTTTCTCTCGTTGACAGAAGGAGCCCAGCCAGCCCTCGGAGTGCAAGCAGCAGTGAGGCGCCCGCGTGGACAGTGCTCACGCCTAACTCGTTTTCAAGTGCATGATTTCCACTTTAACTTCTCCTTTTACTTTATTATTTTGCTTAACCTGTACAGTGGCAGCTCAGATGCATTTCAGAGATAGGAGGTTAATTCCAGCACCCTCTACAGCTTCGGGCACAGCCCAGTGGACTCACCCCAGCCCTGCTTTGGCGAGGGCCCTTCAGATCGAATTGGGGGATCACTGGACGCCAAGGGCACGTGTCCAGGGGTGTGGTTCCAGGGCATCTAGAACTCCTTCACCCCTCCTGCCATCGGACAGGATTTGTTTTGTTTGAAGACACCCACGCACTGTCTCCAGTCCCGGCAGAATCAGCCGGGGTAGGCGCCCTTCTCACACTGCTCTTTCTTTAGTTTAATTTTCCTCAGGACTGACCCTGAGGCTCCAGCTTTTGTGGTTCATCTCCTATTTATTTTTATCTTTTACGCTGGTGACGGCTTGGGGGCGTGCACTGTCGCTTGTCGAAGTTTCTGAGACCCTGTGGGGACCAGACACCCGGTGCCCTGAGCCGGAGGTGCTGGTCAGGCTGCAGATCCCGCGGAAGCTGCTGCTCCCTCAGGACACGCGGACCAGGCTTGGCCTTGGGGGCGGGGGTGGGGCTGTGGGCAGAACCAGGGTTTGCCAGGCTTCGCGGGGAGGGGCTCCGGCCGGGAAGCACGGCTTTCCTCCGTAGTGCGACACGTCTTGCTTTCTCGTAGCTCCCATTTCTTGGCCCCACGCTCATTTTGTCTTAAAAGCCCTGGGTTCCGAGCGACCTGTCCTTGGTGGCGTGTGGGTTTTGAGTGTGGACCTCTGGCCCGGGGAGTTCAGGCTGTGGCCAGGCTGTAGAGTGCTCAGCCTTACTTAACGATACGTTTGTAACTGAATACAGTGTTTTCAATTTGTACAGAATAGTTAGGATATTCTATTAAAGTTGTGAACCATGGACCCAGTGTGTGCGTCTTCCTTGGGGGGCTGCGGCGGGTGGGGGCCCTCGGGCGGGAGGGCGGCCGGTGTCGGGGCGCTGGGTGTGGGCAGATCCAGGACTTCCGGGCTCCTGGTTTGTGTGTGTTTCTGAGGCGCACGTCCCTGTCGATGGGTTGGGGTCCCCGTCCCCGCCCCAGCAAAGAGTCGTTTCTCGGCATTTGCAGGTTTGCGCCCTCTAGGTTGGAAGCTTCCAGAAGGGACGCTTCCTGAGTGAGGGCCGTGCGCCGTCGGTCTACTCGCCGCTGCTTTTCCAGGGTTTCCTCCCGCCCTCTTCTCAGGAACAGGAGCTCTTCCCAGGAAAGACGCTTCCGACCTGAGGGCCGCGCCTCGCCAGGCTTTTCCCGTTTCCGGGGTTTGCTCCGCCCCCTTCCCAGAAGCGCCCGCTGCCCAGGCCCCTTGCTCCGGCTCCACCGCTGGGAGCCTGCCTGTGGCGAGGTCGGGGCAGGCAGGCAGGCGGCTGGCCGTCCTCGCCTCCGCACAGGGGTCCAGCCCACCCGGCGCCCGCCTGCCTGTGGGGCTGGCGTCTCATGAGAGCGGCCAGAAAGCGGAGGGCGCTGGTGGGCATGAGGGAGCGTGGGAGCTCGGAGCCTGGCTGAGGGGTGAACATGCGTTCAGGGGCGACTGTGGAGCTGGAAGGTCTTGACTGAAGTGTCTAGGCAGCCAAGCCTCAGACCCCGCAGCAGTGGGGGGTGGGGACCCTTGCCCGTGCCCGCCCCGGAGGCCATCACGGAGAGGCTGCCTTGTTCCCACCCACAGGCAGCCAGTACCCCGTCCTCGGGGGGTGCGCGAGGCCCCCACACCCCTGCCCTGTCGCCTCAAGGGCCCCCGCTCCAGGTGGCTGCTGCCACCACTGACCCGGGGCGCTCCGTGACCGCGTTGACGACAGAAGGGCGGACAGGGTGGTGGTGCACGGCGCTGTGCCCGGGGAACCTGCGGGAGGCGAGCAGACGGCGTGGCGCTGGGGGCACCGTGTCTCGATGCCGCTGGTCCCTCTCCCGCTGTCCTCACCAGCGGGCGATGGACCTGAGTTCACACCCGAAGCGGCGGCTCCACCCTGAGCGCAGAAGGATGCTGGGCGAGTCAGGCGAGCAGCTGCTCTTCCGTCCGTTGGTGGGCAGCGGTGAGCGTTCGCCGGTTGGTGTGAGGAGAGCCAGGGGAGACGGCTAGGTTCTCTGCCCGGCACCCTGTAGGCTTCGGGAGAGGAGGTGCGTGTCACCTGGGTGCGAGTCAACATCGTTCCCGGTTTGAGATGGCCACAGGCTGGGGCGGCCCCTCAGTCACCCCCAGGAGACAGGAGGGGTCCCGTCCCCTCCCGTGGCAAACTCCTGGCCACAAAGGACCAGGGCACCTCCCTGCCAGTGGGGAACATCTGGGGTGTCTTGGGAGGAACAGAACCTATGTCATGAACACATTTATGTGTGAGTGCACACTGGAGCATGGGAACGCGTGTGTGAGTGCACACCGGTGCATGGGAACGCCTGTGCGGGAGTGCACACCGGTGCATGGGAACACCTGTGCGGGAGTGCACACCGGTGCATGGGAACACCTGTGTGGGAGTGCACACTGGTGCATGGGAACACCTGTGTGGGAGTGCACACCGGTGCATGGGAACACCTGTGTGGGAGCGCAACAGGTGCATGGGAACGCCTGTGCGGGAGTGCAACAGGTGCATGGGAACACCTGTGTGTGAGTGCACACCAGTGCATGGGAACACCTGTGCGGGAGTGCACACCGGTGCATGGGAACACCTGTGTGTGAGCGCAACAGGTGGATGGGAACGCCTGTGTGTGAGTGCACACCGGTGTATTGGAACCCCTGTGCGGGAGTGCACACCGGTACATGGGAACTCCTGTGTGTGAGTGCAACAGGTGCATGGGAACGCCTGTGTGTGAGTGCACACCGGTGCATGGGAACGCCTGTGTGTGAGTGCACACCGGTGCATGGGAACACCTGTGTGTGAGTGCAACAGGTGCATGGGAACACCTGTGTGTGAGTGCACACCAGTGCATGGGAACACTTGTGTGTGAGTGCAACAGGTGCATGGGAACACCTTTGTGTGAGTGCACACCGGTGCATGGGAACACCTGTGTGTGAGCGCAACAGGTGCATGGGAATGCCTGTGTGTGAGCGCAACAGGTGCATGGGAACACTTGTGTGGGAGCGCAACAGGTGCATGGGAACACCTGTGTGGGAGCGCAACAGGTGCATGGGAACGCCTGTGCGGGAGTGCACACCGGTGCATGGGAATGCCTGTGTGGGAGTGCACACCAGTGCATGGGAATGCCTGTGTGTGAGTGCAACAGGTGCATGGGAACACCTGTGTGTGAGTGCACACTGGTGCATGGGAACGCCTGTGTGTGAGTGCACACCGGTGCATTGGAACCCCTGTGTGGGAGTGCACACTGGTACATGGGAACTCCTGTGTGTGAGTGCAACAGGTGCATGGGAACGCCTGTGTGGGAGTGCACACCAGTGCATGGGAATGCCTGTGTGGGATTGCATACCGGTGCATGGGAACACCTGTGCGGGAGTGCACACCGGTGCATGGGAACGCCTGTGTGTGAGTGCAACAGGTGTATGGGAACGCCTGTGCGGGAGTGTACACCAGTGCATGGGAACGCCTGTGCAGGCGTGCACACCGGTGCATGGAAACACAGCTGTGTGTGAGTGCACACCTGTGTGCGGGTGCCCAGTCATCCCATGCGGAGGCTCCCAGCTCAACAGGAAGCTGCACAGAGGCACTGCAGACTGCAGGAGAAGTACTGGGACAGCCGCTTTCTACATCCCCTCTGGGGAACCATGTGATGGCGTGGGCAGACAAAGTGGGTTTACCTCAGGGCAGTCAGGGTAGAGGGCAGCATGTTGAGGCTACTCAGAAAGCAGCACTGGGTTTTGTTTCCCTTGTGGCGTAGGAAGGGTGGGCAAGGGTGCCCGGTGCTGGGGCCTCAGGCTGCCGCTCGGCTATCCCAGGTACACTTGGCAAGGCTGCTGCGCTGAGCTCTGCAGCTGTGCCCTCTCCACCGAGCACTGGGGCTCTGACCCCACAGCCACGGCCCCTCACAGGCCCCCAGGTTCGGTCAGGCCTTGCCATTGGTGCTGGAAGATCACAGAGCATCCAGGAGGTCTGCCCAGAGCCATCAGCCCGGAGGCAGCAGGGCAGTGGTACTCCTGGTGCCTGACCAGCGTGCCCAGCTCTGCCTGGAGCTGCAGCTGCCTGGGCCCAGCACTGCCCATGCGGTCAGGCCCCCGCCTCTGTCCCCTGACTGCCGCAGGCTGGGTAGAGCTTTGATGGCCAGGGCGCCCCGCCCGGCCTTCACGATGCTCCTCAAGGGTCCCCTCCCTCCTGTGGTCTCTGCCGTGAGGCTCCCCAGGCCCCCGTTGCTCTGTCACCGGCCACAGGGCCTGGTTCCCTGCCTCCCTCAGGGCCTGTGCCTCATCTACCACCGTGTCCTCAAAACCGAGGAGTGGACTCCAGGTCCAGCGGCCACTCTGACCCCCCCCTCCGCCAGCCTCAACACCCCAGCTTCTGGGAGACGCCCGGCTCAGCGCCCAGCCCTCGGGGGGCAGGAGCCCCTGGCTAAAGGCAGCAGTGACTGTGCACCCCACATGGGGTGACCCTTGACAGCAGGAGCCCATCGACATGGGGATCTCAGAAGTGGCACCTGAGTGGGGCCTGGGACACGTGTGCACACTTGTCAGAGTCCCTCGCGTGGGGGGGTGTGGTTGGACACTTCACTGTAGCTGAGTTTTCACAAGCCCCACAGATGAGGGTGGTTCCGGTTTTGCTTTTACAGGTTAGGGGTTTTGGCCCCAGGGCCTGGCGTGGGCACCAGACCTCCCGGCCCCTGCCTCACCCTGGTGGCCGGCCTGCTGTGTCAGTTCACGGCCTCCACTCTGGGGCAGGGGCCCTGCAGAGACCTGACTCACTTCTTCCAGGGCCCAGCCATCCCCACAGGCCCACGGGCTCCCCCTTCAGTCTAGGCCATGACA